GACAGTAGACAGTAAACTCATACCCACAGTGTCAAAAACATCTTTCAGTAAACGAGATGGGACCATATTCAGAATACATCTTGTGGGTTTCAAGTCGCACCGAACTGCAACAAGGGTTTTCCCTGTCACCCTGTCTCTTCAACCAAAGATCTGAAGAAGCTCTGGCCACATGTGTGTTACCAAAAGTCACAACCTTCAAGATTCAAGAGCTTTATTGTCAATACAGCAGTATACACAGTATACAGTGTGCCAAAATTCTGTTTCATCCTGTTCCCCCCATGGTGCCTTTGTAAGTATATGAAAGATATGTCTCCAAGAGATATAAAACTAGAAACAACAAATAAATAACGTGCTAAATCTTGGTAAAATTAAGGGATACAAAGGTACTAATTACTAACTATACAATACTAACTGTACGATAAACAAAGACAGGACAGAGACAATACAAAGTGGATTGTGCAGTGATATTGAATACCAGGTTGAGTCATTGTCAGGATATTACAGACGAGACACGACAAAGACATGTGCAAGATGCAAGATGTGCAAATGTAGTTTAGTTTAGATATGTGTTTAGTCCCTACGTGACTGAGTGTGCAAATAAGCATATTGTTCCCAGGTGGACTGTGTAAGTTTTTGTTGTTTTTGAGTTTTTTCACGAGTATTGTAAGGTGTTTGTAAAGGTGTATGTGTTTATCAGTCCTTTGGTGGTATCAAGTTGAGGGCTCTGACTGCTTGGGGGAAGAAGCTCTTGCAGTGTCTCCTGTTACAGTTTTGATCCTTCAAAACCGTCTGCTAGATGGAAAGAAGGAGAACGGTGCATGTGAGGGGTGGAAAGTGTCCTTCACTATGCTGTTCGCACGTCGGATGATGTGTCTGTCATAGAGTTGGGAGATGGGTGGGAGAGGGCCTCCAATGACCCTCTCTGCTGTCCTCACCATCCGCTACAGAGACTTCTTTTCAGCTAGGGTGCAGTTTCCTTACTAGATAGTGATGTAGCAGCAGAGGACCGATGTGAGGATGGGAGGAGGGAGACTGGCCTTCTTCAGTTTCCTAAGAAAGACACTTTTGGGCTTTCTTCATGATGCTGGTGGTGTTCAGGTTCCAAGAGAGGTCATCTGATATGTGCACACCCAGGAACTTCACACTGTTGACCATCTTAACAGCAGATGATGTGCAGTGGGTGTTGGTCATTGAGCTCTTCCTGACGTTAACAACCATCTCTTTAGTCTTCTGAACATTTAGAGACAGGCTGAGGTTTTATCTCTTAGTTAGAAAGTCCAAGATCCAATTGCAGAGGGGGGTGTTTATCCTTGTCAGTCCAACTTCTTTACCAGCTCCTGGGGAACGACTGTGTTGAATGCTGCGCTGAAGTCAGAAAACGGTATTCTGACATAAGTGTCCTTTTTGTCAAGATGGGAGAGAGAAAGGTGAAGAGCAGACAAAATGGCACCATCTGTGGAGGGGTTTGGGCTGTATGCAAACTGTAGTGGGTCCAGATTTGGTGGAAGTTGTGTATTAATGTGCCTCAATACCAGCCTCTCAAAGCACTTTGTGAAGATGGGCGTAAGTGGCACCGGCCGGTAGTCATTGAGTGCACTTCTTTGGCACCGGCATGATTTTCGTGGTTTTGAGGCATGCAGGTACCACAGCTCAGTGATGTATTTAACACAAAGTGAAGTGCAGAGGGGGGGATAGAGGGGCTTGAGCACCCGCCCCTTTCCTGATGGGTGCCCACAGTGCCCTTTTGTTGAGACAACTTTTTAAAAGAAAAAAAATTATTTTTTTTTTTATGTGTGTGTGCGTGCGGAGTCCTGTCTGTGCCCCTCAACAATAATATTTAACTATTAATCACAGTTTTGCTAAATAAAAGGATCTGGCTTGCATCAGTCACATGATCACATTTAACCAATGATCGCCCTTG